CTCAGACTGGCTCTTCGGCTGGGCGAGATGGTTTCGTCCAATCAGAGCGCCTTCATCGCGGGAAGAAGTGTGCATGAAAACTTCATCCTAGTCCAGCAAACGGCAAGGCAGCTACACAGGCTCCGGCTCCCTCGTGTCCTTCTCAAGATGGACATTGCTCGCGCCTTTGATTCGGTCTCCTGGCCCTTCCTTCTTCAGGTTCTGGAACACCTGGGCTTTGGTCCTCGTTGGAGAGAGTGGATTTCCATCCTCATCTCCACGGCCTCCACGAGGGGCATGATCAATGGCACCCCAGGCCTCCCCATCGCTCACCACCAAGGCCTCTGACAGGGTGACCCGGTCTCCCCAATGCTATTCACTCTTGCCATCGATGTCCTCAACTCTCTACTCCACCACCGGCACCATCCGACGCCTCACAGAGCGGTAGGCCGCTTCGAGCGTTTCTCTCTTCGCGGATGACGTGGTCATCTTTTGCCACCCTGATCCTTCTGAGCTCTCCGCAGTTAGTGGTATCCTGGACTTCTTCGGGTCCATTTCCGGTCTATGCACCAACTTTGCCAAGTGCTTGGCTGCACCGATTCAGTGCCCTGACGAGATGTCCGACGTAGTCGGAGCCACCCTGGCTTGCCCAGTTGTGGCCTTCCCGATTCAGTATCTTGGTCTTCCTCTCTCTCTCCGTAAGGTACTGGCTTCTCAGCTCCAGCCCATCGTCGACAAGCTGCTACGCAAGCTGGCAACTTGGAAGGCGCACTCCTCTCGCGTGGAGAGCGCCTGGCCCTGGTCCGGCAAGTTTTAACAGCCATGCCCGTGCATATTCTTCTTGCCATGTCGCTCTCCCCTCCTATTCTTAAGAAGGTGAACAGGATCATCCGAGATTTTCTTTGGCATGGCCGCAAAGACGCTCGTGCGGGTTCTTGTCTTGTCAGTTGGGCGCGTGTCTGCCGCCCAATCGAGCTTGGTGGCCTTGGGATCCGCAATCTTCTCCGGATGGGCATCTCTCTGCGCATCAGATGGCTCTGGCTGTCTGCTTCTGAGAGTTCGCGCCCTTGGTCCCATCTTCAACCGCCAACGGACCCTGAGGCACTTCAATTCTTTCGGGCCTCGACCTCATGGATCCTCGGTAATGGCACTTCCTGTCGCTTCTGGACTAATAAGTGGATGCAAGGCCGCTCCATCCAGGAGCTTACCCCGAGCCTGGTGGCCTTGGTGTCGATTCGATCGCGCCGATCTTGCACGGTCGCGGCCGCCCTCCATGATCGCACCTGGATCAGAGACATCCATGGCTCCCCAGGCCCAGAGGCCATGCTCCAGTATGTTGATTTATGGGGCAGACTCTAGTCTGTCGATCTTACCACGGAGCCTGACGCCATCCGCTGGAAGTGGACGGAGCATGGCGAATACTCTGCTGCCTCCTGCTACAATGCTCTTTTTATTGGTTCCACGACGTCCGAACACTGGCGCATTGTTTGGAAAACTGGCGCCCCCCTCTCGGTCAAGTTCTTCACCTACCTTGCATCCGTCAATCGCTGCTGGACGGCTGACCGGCTCTCTCGCCGCGGGCTTCCGCATGAACCGGCCTGTGTGTTGTGCTCTCAGTAGGCCGATACCCTACATCATATCCTTGTCGAGTGTGTCTTTGCCTGCACCGTCTGGCAGGGCATCCTCTCCTGGTGGTGTCCCACAGCCACGGCTCCAGATGGCACGCTAGGGTTCTTCGACTAGCTGAGCGACACCCTTCCTCTGACGTCTGCCGACAAGCGCCGTGGGGTCTCCACCATTGCGGTGCTTACGGCTTGGTCTCTTTGGCGTCACCGTAATGATGTGATCTTCGACAAGATAGCTCCCTCCTCCACCTCTCTCCTAGCGGCAATTCAAGAAGAGGCACGCTCCTGGACCAGTGCCGGAGCCAAAGGACTTAGCACTATTATCCCTGTAATGTAAACTGGTCTTGTAGGGCTGAGCATCCCATTCCCATGCTCGCTTGCATCGCGGTAGCGCCTTCCTGTGCACGCAACCGTGATGCCAACCTGTACTTTCTATCCCCTATCAATGCAAAGATACGCTTCCAAGCGTATTCGTGAAAAAATTGCGTTGAGCCTCAAATAGTCATCCTATTTTTTGTTCCTATATATGTTTGTTTGAGAAATGCGTCTAAATTTACTGTAAGGAGGGAGTATTACAATCTTTTTCGTGGTAACTAATTTTGATCAATTGGTAGGACCTCTGCCTTTTCACATAGAAGAGAAAACTGATGCAACAGAGCCCCCCTTTGACTAGTACTAGGCCGCGATTCAACAAGCCAACGTCTCCGTCATCAAAGTGACTAGGGTCAACACCCTATACCACAACTCGAAGCCGTCACTCCGGCTTAAAAAACACAAGTCACACACTAATCGGCCCCGAGGCCACGCATCAGACGAGCTGGCCACTTTGCCGCCCAAAGTGACCGGACCCGACACCACACAATGTGTCAGAAGTCTTCGGAGCCGCCACCGAGGCCTCACACTAATTATTTTTCGAAAAAAGTGTTTTGTTCATCATGAAGCAAACAATTGCCCCCCCTCCCCCCGAAGCGGATCCTCTGACGTACTGCCCCCTGACATGGGGCCACTGACGTGTAGGCCCAGGTCCACATGCCAGTGTGCCAATGACACGTTAGGGGAGCCGCGCGCAAAAAAAAAAGTAGACGCGCCTGGTAATGTCGTGTTGTTTCCTTGGCGCAAGCGATCCCGCGTCGTCTCTCGCTCAGTCACAGACTGACATTAGGGCGGGGGCAGAGATCCCTCCCTCG